CTGACATACGTCACTTGGGGTCAAACTGGATGTCATTAATATTAAAAGGTTATTAAAATACACCAAAGCAGACCTCCAACGTAAACAGTTTGTAGACTTAGCAAATTAAGTGCTATGTAGTCAAGTAGATTCGTATTTTAGCAACCATGACCGTCGTTTTTACTGTTTTTTGTAAACTCATTTTTCAGTTTACAATTTTTCGGCTGTAACAGTCTATTGTCGAAGGCAGCAAGTTGTCATTTCATCCATGTAAGAATTAAACCTTAAATATAGACAAACTGGTGTTTCATTCTGCGGTGGCGACAAAGAAACAAACCCGAAGGAAAATGAATGAATGAATATCGACAAACGACGGAGGTGTGGAGTTTCCCGCTAAAACCGACCCGCCGTCATCAAAATCTCCTGATTTTGGAGTAATGGGAACAACCTTTTGAAGAGGTATGTTTTTTAATATGTACTACTCGTTCCATATGTTAAGTTATTGATTTTAAAACAGGTTATTTTGAAGGGCAAGAAAGTAAGCTTGTTTTCTGTGCTAGTTTTAGCCGAAGCTGAGAAATGAGAGACTTCAGATTCGTTGGACCAGGGGTGCCCAAAGCTTTTCGAATGAGGGGCTGAAAACCAAAAATCATAAGAGTTGTGAGCCGAAGGTAAATATACCAAACTATTTTACATTAAAGTTGCCATGTGTAATTTAATAATTTATTTCATATTTAAAAGTCAATAAAAACATTACTTTAAATCGTACTATTGCAGTATTTTCTTTTAATGATAACTCATGGCAATAACTGGGTTGCAGCTGGAAGCGCATCCGCCGTGTAAAACATGCTGGATAAGTTGGCAGTTCATTCCGCTGTGGCGACCCCTGGTGAATGAAGGGACTAAGCTGAAGGTAAATAAATGAACTTATTGCAATAAAAACATAACAGGGCTCAACAATAAGGACTGCCCGATGGCCCAGGGCCAGCACGAAAGACGCTTGGGACAGTAGACAAGATAATTACTGGCCCGATCGGGACAGTGCTGCCTTGTCACTAAAGTTTAATTTGCCTGCAACTATTTGTCAATTGTGTGCATTTTAAGTTTGTGCTTTTACGTCTTTAAATGCTACCTTCTCTGTAATGTTGGAACCACCATAATTCTTTTCGGTTCCTCTAATCTGATTTGATGTTTGGAGCATGCTATTTTTGTCCATAACCTCGTAAGAACCAATACAGGAAAGTGACGGCAACATCAAATTATAAGGGTAAAAGAAAATGTCTGTTTCTAACGTCTTGGAAGCAGACATTTACATGGGTGAAACCCATGTTACCTGCACATTTTCCATACTGCTCTTTTTGTTTGCATAACACTTTGAATTTTGCTCATTATACATATTTTAACATTTTTTAAATATTTCAATTCTTGATTCATAGATGTTGTTTTTAACAAAATATTTAAAATATGTGGCTAGAAATAGCTATTAACTTTTATTTTCTTTTTCTTTTCTTTTTTTGTGGGGCCAGTGAAAATTTTTCCAGGGCAAGTAAAAATCCGTCATCAAAATCTCCCGATTTTGAAGTAATGGGAATAACCTTTTGAAGAGGTATGTTTTTTTAATATGTACTACTCGTTCCATATGTTAAGTTATTGATTTTAAAACAGGTTATTTTGAAGTGAAAGAAAGTAAGCTTGTTTTCTGTGCTAGTTTTAGCTGAAGCTGAGAAATGAGAGACTTCAGATTCGTTGGACCAGGGGTGCCCAAAGCTTTTCGAATGAGAGTTGTGAGCCGAATGTAAATATACCAAACTATTTTACATTAAAGTTGCCATGTGTAATTTAACAATTTATTTCATATTTAAAAGTCAATAAAAACATTACTTCAAATCGTACTAAAGTAATGTAATTTAAATCGCTGGTTCAATCCTCGGCTCAGTTGGCGTTTCTGTATGGAGTTTGCATGTTCTCCCTGCGTTCGCGTGGGTTTCCTCCGGGTGCTCCGGTTTCTTCCACAGTCCAAAGATATGCGGTACAGGTGAATTGGCTAGGCTAAATTGTCCGTAGTGTATGAGTGTGTGTGTGAATGTTTCCCAGAGATGGGTTGTGGCTGAAAGGGCATCCGCTGCGTAAAAATGAGCTGGATAAGTTGGTGGTTCATTCCTCTGTGGCGACCCTGGATTAGTAAAGGGACTAAGCTGACAAGAAAATGAATGAGTGAATAAATCGTACTAATGCAGTATATTTTTTTAAATGATAACTTATTGCAATAACTGGGTTGCAGCATTAAGGGCATCCGCTGTGTAAAACATATGCTGCATAAGTTGGCAGTCCATTCCGCTGTGGCAACCCCTGATGAATGAAGGGACTATTCTGAATTAAATTCTTGATTCACAGATGTTGTTTTTGACAAATTATTTAAAATATGTGGCTAGAAATAGCTATTAACTTCAATTTTCTTTTTCTTTTCTTTTTTTTGCGGGTCCAGTGAAAATTTTTCCTGGCCAAGTAAAAATCTGAATCAATGGAACGAGTTAAAAAAAAGGATTAAAAAAAATTGAAAAGTTAAAAAATCCTTAGCGTTGAACCCTGCATAATCACATTTATAACACAGTGGAGTTCAATGCTGAATACACTAGTCAAGTAGAATCTGCCTTTGCCTTAATTTGGTCACCAAAGTATCTGCATTGTCCTCTATCTGTCAGTTGACAGCATGTGTATTTTAAATAAAATTGCTGCATTTAAATTGAAACATTAAATTTCCGTTAGCTTTTTTGTATATCAACAATAAAACACATAAATAAAAGGTTACATTAAAATTGATGATGACAATCTCTAAACCATCCCCATCATTCTCCCTCTTCTCAGATGGGACGTTGGGCCAAATCAAAGGTTATAATACTCGTTTATAACATTGAGCTGACGGCGACATAGTGGCTCAGTGGTTATCACTGTCCCCTCACAGCAAGAAGGTTGCTGGTTCAAGCCTCAGCTGGGTCAGTTGGTATTTCTGTGTGATGTTTGCATGTTCTCCTCATGTTAGTGTGGGTTTCCACCGGGTGCTCCAGTTTCCAAACACATGGGCTATAGGTGGATTGGAATAACTAAATTGGCTGTAGTGTATGTGTGTAAATGAGTGTGTATGGATGTTTCCCAGTACTGAGTTGCAGCTGTAAGGGCATCTGCTGTGTAAAACATGCTGGATAAGTTGGTGGTTCATTCCGTTGTGGTGACCCCTGATGAATAAAGGGACCAAGCCAAAGGAAAATAAATAAAGGAATGAACGTTGAGCTGCATAATAGACCGCTTTTGTAACCTACAGATGAAATTACTCAGAAATGAGTCGAATGACACCCAGAAAGCCTTCAGAGTTCAAATGTCCTACTGGGTCTTGACCACATCAGGGTGCTAAAAGATAGGAAAGCATTTTATAATTTGTGTTCATGACGTGTGAATATACCTTTACAGCCGCTGTTTATTACCCATTATGCTTTATATGATTTTAAACTGAACAATCCCAACACATTGTGATCTAGAAATGAATCAAGCTTGCTGTAATAACAAACTGATTTAACATAGCTTGTCAAAGAAAGAGACCACACAATTCATATATACTGTGATGTTTTATATATTATTGGTCAGTGGCAAACATATGAATGAATACAGTATTACTTATAGAAATAACTACAGTAAATATAAATAGAAACATATTTTCATTTGTCCACTTTAAATCAAGAATACACATCTTCCTGAGATCTTAATAAATTACAGTATACCGCATAACCTCTGTATAACAACAACAATAAGAGCCTCATCATTCATCTCCATCAAGGAAAATAAGCAGCACGGAGGTGCAATAAAGGCATAGTTTACTCAAAATGGAAATTTTTCTCTGTATTTACTCACTCTCAAGTGGTTCTAAACAGTTATGAGTACTCTGTTGAACGTTAAAGAAGATATTTTGAAGAATGCTGAAAACCTGCAACCATTGACTTCTGTAGTACACTGAAAAAAATCATTAATTGGTATTACTACATTTTTTTTTAATGTAAGTGGTTGCAAACAATTGATATGGGCTGAATTTAAACAAATACAATTTAGTAATGTTCAAATTAATTTGTTTGTTTAAATTTAGCCAATATAAATTGTTTGCAACCACTTACCTTAAAAAACATTTAATTTACTACTTTTTTATTTTGAATGTAGGAAAAATAGATACTGTAAAAATCCCTGGTTGCCAGCTTTCTTCAAAACATCTTAATTATAGTTTAAGATAACAGCAGAAAGAAACTCAAACAGATTTGAATGGAAATAAAATACAGATTTGAATGGAAATAATGACAAAATTTTCAGTTTTGTGCGAACTACCCCCTTCAGACCTACATCAGCAGGTCTAAATATATGGAGGACGAAACCTGCAATAACAACAAATATATAAATAAATAAATAAATTAATTAATAAATCCACATATTCCTGCATAAATATTTATGCAAATAAATAAATGAATATACATAAAAAACACAAATTCCTGCATAAATAAATATATAAATAGTGTGGGCAGATTAATAATTAAATAAATTACACGGATGTTGGTGGAATAAGGAAATGCTAAACTGAAAATAGATTCTTCCCGCTTTTACACCGCACTACTAATTATTTATATATTTATTCATGCAGGAATTTGTAGAATTATATATACATTTATTTATCTATTTGTGTATTTATTTATTTATTTATGCAGGAATTTGTCAATTTATTTATTTATTTGCATATTTTTTTATTGTTTTATTTATGCAGGATTTTGTCAATTTATTTATTTGCATATTTATTTGGTTTATTTATACAGGTATGGGTGTATTTATTTATTAATTTTTTTATTTGCGTATTTACTTATTTATTTATTGTTTATTTGCATTTTTTAAATTATTTTATGTATGCAGGAATTTGTGTATTTATTTATTAATTAATTAATTTATTTGCTAATTTATTATTTTTTTAATTTATGCAGTAATTTGTGTGTATATTTATTCATTTATTTGTGAATTTATTGGTTTTTATGTGCATATTTTAAATTTATTTATTTAATTATTTATTTATTGTCTTATGCAGGAATTTGTGTATTTATTTATTTGCTTATTTATTTATTGTTTTTGCAAGTTTCGTCCTCCATACCTATAAGGTGTATGTGAATAAGTTACATTCTGCGCTATAATACAACTAATGCATTCTCACATTCAGACAAACACACACGCACACACACACACAAGCTCTAATAACGTCTGCATGAATGATTGACAGCTACATGAGCCTATGAGGCTGCTGACTGAAGCTGAGGTCACACACCAGAGACAGATGATCTGACGGATAATGAAATGAAGGAAGCCGGTCCGGGCCGATCTGCTCTTCACTCGGTATCCTCAGCACAGCATCCACCTCGAAGGCTTTCTCCGAATACCAAATATAGTCCAGCGTGGAGCAGCACTCTCCACTAGGCCGGATTTTCCAGCTTGTATAAGGCGGCTCAGTGGTCCTGTCGTCACTTAGACATTTATAAACGCTGTCTAGCCCTAATGAAGAACTCCTAAAATGCCGATACACTTCCTCGTTGGGCTCTGCATTAAAATCCCCACACACTATCAAAGGAATACCCTCTGTTTGGTCGTCCTGATGCATCTCTGGGTTTGATTGGGAGGTTATTTCGTGAAGCTGCTGGAGGAGATTTGCTCCTTGCGCACTACGAAATGCTTCCCATCCGCTTCGTGCTTTGAGATGCGTTACGGCGACACAGAAAACTCGTCCTGTGAGCTTACATCGAAGCGTAGCGACGACGGCTACTTGGTTGGTTTTGAGCATCATGGCGGAGAGTCTGAGATGCGCCGTGTGGAGCATCTGGAAGCGGCGGCGGTTGAAGAACAGAGCGCAGCCGTCCGGGCCGTTGTTATTGTGGACGTCCAGGCAGGGGGAGCAGGGTTTGGGGCAGAAGCTGCTCTGGTAACCCAGGCTAGAGAGCACAGGCTGGAACGTGTCGAAGTAATGGTCCACCTCTTGCAGACACACCACGTCTGGCCTGTAGGTGAGGATCTCTTCTAGGATGAGATACTTGCGCTCCGACCAGTTCAACGCCTCCATTGGACAGCGCACAAAACCATCTTTGCCTTCGCCAAGAGCTGAAGATACACAAGAAAAAGATTGAGAAGATCACTTTTGAGTGTTTTTAGTATCACTAAGGCTGTCTCAAATGGCCTACTGGTCGAGTAGGTGCTTAATTTGATAATTAAATACACAACTGTTAGAGAAGTACGTTCTATAGTATGAATGTTAGTAGTACGAAGTTCGTATGTGCTACATCCTTCATTTGTCATTATCTTGTGATCTACCCACATCAGTTTCGTCGCATCACACGGATGTTCTGGCCATCGGATATTAGGCATGGACATATATATATATATATATATATATAGTGCGATCGTGATTTTCGAAAGTATTACAGCACTTTATAAACGATTATTATTACCATTTGTTGAGTCTTCCCATACAGTTTTATAGAGAGCTTGGATCCGGAAGCCGCTTCGCGTGACGTCACACTTAACAAGCGAATTAGATGTGCATTTCAGAATCTCGCTGGAATTAGTAGGTACTTCTCGCATATTGTTTTTTCAATACTATGAATTCGGACATACTATTCAGCTCGCATACTGTTTTTAACTTAATATATAGTATGGAAGTATGCGATTTCAGATGCAGCCTGAGTAATTGTTTTAACAGTCTAAATTACATGGTGCCTGCGGGGTCTTAAAGGTCTCGAAAAAATTGAATGTAAAAAACTTTAGATGTTAACTTTAGTCTATAGGATTAAAGGATATTGATTAGCTAGTGTGCTCTAAAACAGTGAAAAAAATCATGTTTAGAAAATGTAAAACTGGTATAAAAATCCAAAGCTTCTTAATCGACTAACTTTTTTTTCACGTCATCTCATACTTTAGTTTTTCATCAAATCTTGATCAATCAAATGCTCTCTATTGTCTGACATGCCCCGCCCCCTTCAAGACGCTTTTCATTTGATGCACTTGAGCTCAACTACTCTCACTGGCAGAGCAGTGACAAAAACGAAACATTTTTTTAAAGGGGAGGAGCTACTCTGTCCCATGCTATTTAAATTTTTCAGTTGAGATTACGTTAAATGATTACGAATTTCGCTCTGATTTCTATATATAGACTGAATTACTGTTTTTTAATTTATATTTTTATCTTAATTTGTCAAGTCATTTTAATCTGCTCAATTCAAGTTTATTTGTTTAAGTGCTTTTCACAATAATTGTTGCAAATATTTAATTATTATTTTAATGGCTTCTGATTAAGAAAGTTAATTAACTTCAGATAAAAATTACATATGTTTAAAACGAGAAGCTTTTTATAATAATGACAGTTTAGCTTTACTACGTGATTTCTTGACACAGTGGAAAAGTAATTTGTTTATTGTTTTATGTACTTTACATTATGTCTTACGTTTATATCTTTATGCAGTATTAAAAGTTTATAAAAGCAACTTTTACTTTGAAACACAAAAAAGTGTCATTTTAAGTAAATTATTTTAATTCATCTCTATCTCTGCCTTATATCCCAGTTTTAAAATAAAGCAGCATAACACTGATAATAATTGATCAGCAAATCAGCAGATTAGAAAGATGTCTGAAGGATCATGTGACAATAAAAACTAGAGTAATGAGGCAGAAAATTACGCTTCCCCTCACAGGAATAACTTGCGTTTTAAAATACATTGAAACAATAATAGCTATTTTTAAATTTTAGTAATATATATATATATATATATATATATATATATATATATATATATATATATATATTTAAATATACAGACCCCTACTACTGAACAATGCTGTATTTATGATTTTAAACCTAAAATGTTTCACCAGTATTTTTAAAACATACTTGAATAATTTGCTTTAACTTAAGCACAGTGACGGAAGCGAGTTGAAAAACCCTAGGATTACGTTACCTCCTATAAATCAACTATGAGTACATGACGCAAGCAGAAAGACGGTGTACCTTGAGCTAGAATATTCCACTGCATGATGCGGAGGGGTGAATTCTGAAGTGAACAGGCTCTGGTCATGATGAACTCCCGGTGCAGTCGAGGCGGTCGATTCCTCAAAACCTCTCCGCACTCACGCAGCAGCACGTCTGGATCGGCCTGCTCATACTCATAGTCATCAGCATCCACATGTGGGTCTGTCAATGCAGCGCTGCTCAGAGTCTGGGCCAGAGTACTGAAGAGTCTACTGCTGCTGTTGCTGCCCATCTGACACACTGCAGACACACAAACACAACTTTACAGATTCATAATCACTGAAAATGAATAGAAAATACATCCATCTAAGCTCAAGAACACTTGAATGATCTCATAACACATCGCGTGAACAGGTATTTTCTCTCAGTAACAATTAACTCTATATTTTTGAAAGTTTGGCCTTTGAGAGATGAGCTCTGCGAATCGCTTTAAACTATATCATGTTTAGTTCCTACTCTGCTCCAACATACCTGTATGTTTAAAAAAAAAGCCTAAAGGACTCAATTATTTAGATCAGGTGTGTTTAATCAGGGTTAAAGCTAAACTGTGCAGAGCTGCGCCCCTCAAGGAACTGAGTTTGGCACCCCTGCACTATATGGAAGGTAGCATCTAAAAAGGGATAAGGCACTTTGACTTTGTCTATTTTAGATCATTATAGAAAGATATAGCATGTTTCAATGCAGAATACACAGTAGTACATGAAAGGCGACACGCAGAACTTCATCCAAAACAAACAGCAGCCATGGAGATATAAATAGCAGAAGTGCAGTACACTGTGTATGACAATATAAACAGTAGCATGACGGCACATGGAAGCTATTTAAAGTGCAGACGCAAGCACTGGTTCGGTTGCTTATCAAGGGTTTTACATTAGTGGGTCTATAATACAAAACGTTTTAAAAAAAATTTGCTTATTATTGTTTAAAATCTCAGTGTTATTATTAACATGCTAAAAAAGCACTACTCTGAATGCATCGATAAGTTGAGAAAGGAGATTGTGTGGTTGACAGAGCGATGTCTCAGCATGTGTCTAGACTTGTTTAAAGGTGAAGTCAGACATGAATCACATGTTAAGATTCTTGCATAAGTGTGCATGTTTGCTGGCTTGCATACTAACTTAGATAATATTTCATTAACCTCATTAGCTAGTTAGACCTCTGGATGCTAGCCTGTAAATTAATCATCATATTAGACAACGGCTTAACTGCAGCTGTGGAAACCACTGACTCTTCTGTCTGCCATGACAACTAAGCCTCGCTCACAAATGCAATATCAAGAACTAACAGGGCTGGAGGGAACACTGATCTCCCTGCAGACAAGAAACAGCCACCTTTATTAGTTTCCTAAGCAGCCCACAAGAATTTAGCCTAGTAACAGTAATAAAAAGGTTTTAGAAAGGTATGAGGATGGGATATTTACTTTCTAAGTTCAGTTAAACATCCACAACCAGTAGGCCTTTACTTTAATAACAGCATACATATAGCACAAATATTTGTCATCAAATAACACTAACCATTGTTACACTATATGTCTATACACTATAATAGCACTAACCACAATAAAAGTTTCTTTTTTTTAAGACATAAACACATTTGATCAGCGAGGATGTGATTTATAGATAAAAAATCACTATAAAAACAAGCAAATTGTCGAAAAAAAGCCAATTCATATTTGAAATGTTTAAATATTTTATAATATTGCTGTTTTGCTGTATTTAATTCAGCATATGTCTTTGACAAACATTAAATAATTCTATTATATACCATATGTTAATATAATTATAATATAAATATAATGTTATGTATATATACTGTCTGCCATGACAACCAAGCCTCGCTCGCTAATGCAATATCAAGAACAAACAGTGCTGTAGGGAACCCTGATCTCCCTGCAGACAAGAAACAGCCACCTTAATTAGTGTCTTAGGCAGCCCACGATAATTTGGTCTAGTGATCAATAATAAAAAGATTAAAAAAGACATGAGGATGAGATACTTGTATTCAGTTCAGTAAAAAAAACACAACTAGGCAAGGAGTAAATGCTTAGCAATATACCAAAGGAATGACAGTATACATGTGTGCAGCACAAATATTTGTCATCAAATAAGACTAACCATTGTTACACTACACGTCTATACACTATATTAACACTAACCACAACAAGTGTTTATTTCTTTTAAGACAAACACTTTTAATTAGAGAGGATGTGATTTATAGATTAAAAATCACTATAAAAACAAGCATAATGTTGAAAAAAAGGTTAATTTACATTTGAAATGATTAAATATTTTACAATATTGTTGTATTTTTGATCAAATAAATACAGCATTTATCTTTCACAAACATTAAATAATTCTATTTCATACTACATTATAATTATAATATTACAACGACTACTAATACTACTACTAAAAATATTAATACATTTTATTTATAAGGCACTTTTCTCACACTGAAGCACTACACTCTCAGAAGTAAAAGTACAAAATCGGTCACTTGGATGGTCCCTTTTACCAAGTACTTAAAGGTACATATTAATACCTAAAAAGTACAAATGTGTGCCTCATAGTACCTTAAAGGTACAAAAGTGTACCCTAAATGTACTAATGTCCACCCTTACGTTACAAAAATGTGCCTTTTAAAAGGGAACAACGCCAGTGACATATTTTGTACCTTTATTTCTGAGTGTGTACAAAAAATGCATTGAGAAAATATAAACAATGACATATATCAAGTCAAAAAAACTCAATCAATAACGTAGTCATATTTATCAACAGTATTCATTTAAATATTCAGCCCAATTCAAGTTTAATTGTATAGCACTTTTCACGATAACTCACGTACTTTAAACGCAGCTTAACAAAATATTATAACCAGACACACACACATAGCTTTGATTCATCTAGCTTACATTTACCATCTGAATCCATCCTGCTCCGTCTGCCTCCTCAGTTAAATTACTTCTACATCTCACCCATTATATAGTATATAGACTCTCACGTTGAAAAAGCAGAATCTTGCTGTTATTTATACATGACAAGTAAAGATTTTCCAGTTATTAATGTAATAGTCAAGTGCTGAATACTCAGGGCTGGTCACGGGTAATGCTGCTCATTGCTTAGTAATTGTTCAGTCAGTGATTATACAGTTAAAACCAATATAATTTTAGATTTTTAAATCACATGCAATTATGACTTAGAAATTTGTATTTAAAATACCTCTTTATCCTTTTTTAACCGGATGTCTCAGATGCTGTTGAACTGAAGGCGCAATCTTCTCTTTAGAATTATCCAATGGCGATCCAGTGGGTTAGTGTAGGAAATGAGTTAACGGACCCAGCAGAACACTAGCATCCATTAAACTGTTTGGCTTTTGTATATGGGAATATTCTGGGGGTTGCGGATGTGACAGTGCGTGTATCAGAGTGTGTGTTTCTAGACAAAAGGGTTCCTGAATGAGCCAGTGTGTCTGTGCTTCCCTCGCCATTCATTCTGAACAATGACTCATTTGAAAATCACGAGAGGGACCCGATGCGTGCCTGGGCATATATGTGCACACGTGGCTGACAGGAACAGTTCACTTTTAATTTAATTTATGGATTGAGGTAGATGGTTTATTAGGCTATCATTTAATAAAGTCACTTTTTGTCATCAACATTTTATAATAAAGTTATGTTTGGTGAATTTAGTTGCACTAGGTATCATAAACTAAAAAGTAAGGTTTTTAAAGAAACAAAATCTTTATTTCAGCAAAACTGGCTAATAAAAGTGGCTATATTTTAGAAGGCATATTTTAGGCCTGGATGATTAATCCAGCTATTAAACTGAAATTTTCAAATCACAAAAGCTGCATTTATTTCAATGCGCTAACAAAATTGTTAAAAAGCATATCGTTGTTGAAAGTTCTAACAGTTTTTAAGCACATCATCATGAACAATGTGAAAAATGTAACACAATCTATATGTAAAGGTTTTAAAGGTTAAGGTTTAAAGGTATATATCTTTATAATATATAAGATTATATATATAATTCATTTAATTTAATTGAATTTAAAACACTAGTTATTTTTTTTAACTTTTCATCACTACTAAGAACTTTATTGGGAAAACAAATGGCAACAGGTTTTAAATAAACTGTAGCATACTTTGTGGTTATACTTGATAGCTCTTTGGTGATGTTAAAACCACCACATCAAACCTGTAGCTATTTTATGAAATGGTAAATCACATTTTAAATAGCAATTTTGATCAGATAAATCACAATTAGAGTTTTTTCTCCAAACTGTGCAACCCCAATTCATTGATAAGCAAATCAGCATAAGTGAAAAATTGGTGGCATTGAAGTCTGAAGTAATAATATAAATTCAGTTTATCATCACATGAATAATTTCCATTTTATTCCACTGTATTTTCCAGCAGATAAATGCAGCGTTTGAAACTCAAATGTAATCATAAGCTAAATAAATTTCTATTTTTTACTAATCCCATACAATGTATTAATATAATATGCACTAGGTATCATGAACTAAAAAGAAAACTACTTTTTAAAAGTAGAGAGTGACATTTTTTTAAAAAGAAATTAAAGCTTTATTTTAGCAAAATTGGTTAATAAAAGCTATTCTGACTTTTTTTTTTTTTTTTAGAAATCTTTTTATTTAAAATAAATGCTTATTATGATTTATTGATAATCAAATCAGCATATTGCTATCTGAATAATTGTGTGGCATTTAAGTCTTAAGTAAAAATATAAATTCAGTTTATCATCACATAAATAAATTCCACTTTAAAATAAACCTAAAAAAAATCTTAAACTGTATTTTTGAGCAGATAAATGCAGTATTTGAAACTCAAATATAATTATATAAATAAATGTATAATTTTCTAATCCCAAACCATAATACAACAGATCAAGAAAAAAATGTTTCATTAAAAAATAGACAATTTATTATGGAAAGTCAACAATGTAACAAAGATTTATATTTATAAATGAACATCAACACATTAATAAACACTGTAGGAAAATCCTAAATTAAATTGATTGCCAAGGCTTAACAATTTTTAAACCATAACCCAAAGCAAACAAGCAAAAAATAAATATAGATGTACTCTATTCCATACCATCAAGAGCTTATAAAGCCTCGTTACGCAACTGATGCGCCATTTGCACATCGTTCTGACATTTACCACTTCATTTGACACATTATGTAAGATTATGAAGCGTTCTGCAGGGTGTGCAAACCTGGGGATGCGTAAAATTATTGCGTGTGATAATTGGTGACAAATGTACTCTCTAAAAGCTATTTTTTGTTTAGCATACACGCTGTCAACCATATTATGGAAGACATTTCACACCAATTATAACCTGAAAACTATGCTTAAATAATTTAATGAGAAGCTACACCTTGGCCCTGGGCTATGTTCAACATAGAAGTTGAGCGAGACACATCCAAGGTTAAGGTTTAAAGGTATATATCTTTATAATATATAAGATTATATATATATATATATATATATATATATATATATATATATATATATATATATATATATATATAATTCATTTAATTTAATTGAATTTAAAATACTGTAGTTTTTTTTTCATCACTACTAAGAACTTTATTGGAAAACAAATGGCAACAGGTTTTAAATAAACAGTAGCATACTTTGTGGTTATACTTGATAGTTCTTTGGTGATGTTAAAACCTCCACATCGAACCTGTAGCTATTTTATGAAATGGTAAATCACATTTTAAGTAGCAATTTTGATCAGATAAATCACAATTAGATTTTGTTTTTAAGGCGCGTTATTGTGTAAATATTTAAAGCATTCGTGAACAAGAAATTATAATGTTTTTAACTTTAAACACATTGCATTGTAGATTAATTGCATTTATGTATATTTACACACAATGAAAACTTCACTGTTATTTTATATTTGAAAACTCAATTAGTGCACCTGAATACTGCTAGATTCCCAGAGAAAAAGAAACATCTGTTGGTGTTTTTCATTTATATTTTTGCTCTATTTTATCAATACTTTTGATTGGTTTGGTGTAATTAATGCCGATGCGCTCTACAAAATCATAGTAATCAATGTAAAATTTTGTCAATTCTCTCCAAATACAGCTATACATTTCATCTAGTGAATTTATATAGAATATCACAATAAATATTGCATAAAAATAAAATATTGCAATGTCAGTTTTTTTTTCCAATATCATGCAGCCCTCGTATATATGCAGACAACTAAAAAATTTTTTAGTCATTTTTATGATTGTTCATATCCCAGCATTTACTGGAACTCCTTTTTTATTTTATTTTAGCTTATTCAATCCAACTTACATAACGTCCTGGTTCTCAGACCTCGTCCTGATCCAGGTCAAATCCCTTACACAAGAGCTGCCCTACAGGGGGCTTTGTGCGCACAGATCCGGATTCACTTACACTGCACTGAGTTTTATCTCTTTGTAACTTGTGGATTAAAATACCACACGCTTGTCAACCTCAATCTTTTCAATATCAGAGAACAGATGTTTACATTCACAATGTGTCCTTACTGTTTTATGCTGTGAGTCAACTGCACAAATGACGCAAAAGACGAGCTTGTTAAATATAAAATGAGTCGAGAGACCATATCAGAATCTGATAGCGTAGAAAAACGGTTCAATTTGAGGAGTGAACCATTAATAAAATATATTACTGTTACTGCTGTTACTGTTTGCTGACCTTTAGCTTGGACTATCATGTTACTGGGAAGGTGCACGAGAATAGATTCAAGTACAGAACACTGACACAACAAACAATATTAAAAAAAATAAATATAATAATATTATAACAAGAATACTTTCTACAGAACTGTAACTTTAAATGAGTATCGTCTTATGAGAATTGAAAGCTTCTTTCACCTTGCTATTAATTAAAAAAACAATTAAAGTCATGAAAAAACGGTTGAATATAAGTCTGATAATGAATTTTAACTTTAAAAATGCAACCAAAAACTAAACACTGCATTTGCAGTCGACTTAGTACTAAAATGATTATTGAAATAAATAATAAGAATTACAAAAAGCAAAGGATTATTCAAGCTAATAAACTGTAAAGTTAAAATACTTTTATTTAAATAATAAATGCATGTAATTTTATTAATAAAAAATAAAAGCTTGTTTTTTTATTTTGAATTCCTATAACAGCATAAATAACATTGCTCTTCAGTGACGAGAATCGAAATACATAAGTGAACTATTTCTGAATAAAAAAAATCATGACATGTAATAAAGCCACTTTTTTCACTTAGATTTTATAAAAAGGTTATGTTTGATGCACTAGGTATCATAAACTACATATTAAAAGCTTGGAGTAAGATTTTGAAAGAAAAGAAAGCTTTATTTTAGCAATTATTATTATTAGGCAATTTATTATTTTGTTAGAAACCATTGTATCTTAAATAAAAACTGCTAATTCTACAAAATATTGAAGACAATAACTGTTCTTTTCATCAATGATAAGAAAATCGGTATATTTTTCTGAAAAACATCATGTGACTTAAGTCTTAAGTAAATTCCACTTTAAAATAAATCTAAAAAATATCAAGGTTGTGTTAATTTGTCATTTTTTACTGTATATTTGAGCAGATAAATGCAGCATTTCAAACCCCTATATTTATTTTTTTACCAATTCCAAACCAGGTACTAATATAAACCAAATCATAATTACCAATCCTAATAAAAAATATTTTACTAATCCCAAACCATGCACTAATATAAACCAGATCCTAATTACACACCAACTCATAACATCCATTCTTTTTTTTTTAGCTTAGTCCCTTTCGCTAACACGGGGAGAACATGAAATCTCCACACAGAAATGCCAACTGATCCAGCTGAGGCTCGAACCAGCGACCTTGCTGTAAGGCGACAGCGCTACCTACTGTGCTACCTACCCCCAACTCAACATACATTCATTTGTTCATTTTCTTTTTTCGCTTAGCCTCAGTCCCTTTATTAATCCAGGGTCGCCACAGTGGAATGAACCGCCAACCTGTTGTTTTACACAGCGGATGCCCTTCCAGCTGCAACCCATCACTGGGAAACATCCATACACACTTATTCACACTCGTACACTACCGCCAATTAGCCAACCCAATTCACCTGTATCGCATGTCATTGGACTATGGGGGAAACCGGAGCACCCAAAGGAAACCCATGCCAACTTGAGGAGAACATGCAAACTCCACACAGAAACGTCAACTGACCTGGCCGAGGCTCAAACCAGTGTCCTTGCTGTGAGGTGATCTTGCTAACCACTACGCCATCGTGCTGCCCCCAACGTAACATCTTTTGTACAAAATATTAACTTTAAAATAAATTAAGTAAATGTAATTTTAAGGTATAAGGTAACAACATTTTTTGACTGTATTGTTCTACTTTGTCAATAATCAAAACATCTTTTATAAGCAGACAAATGAGTTACTATGACCTTGTTATGAGAAACTAGTCATTTCTCACACATAACAGGATGCAAAAGACAAGTCATCATCACTCCCACTATACATGAGTCACCCGTTACAGCATGATTGACACGTTATATGATATAATCATTCAGATGGTCCTAAATCCTCTCACAAATAAACTGATTTACACCCATCAAGGTAAAGTTGGCTTTAAATTTACACATTTGGGCTTTCTTCTTAATAATAGAATTTCATAAAAGTATTCTTTGCAAATTATAAAAAGGGAAAAATCATATTAGCAGCCAATGACTACCAAAGTATTGTTTACAATCAATAAAATGGTGCCAATGTTGTTTTATAATAGCATAATTACATGCTATTTTACACTGAATATTCAAAGTACATTATAGGCACTTTGTTACAAGTTGTCACTGTTGAAAAATAAACTAATGTGCGAATATAAAACCAACTTTACCTCAATAAGTTAGTCTTGAACCTGTAAACTGCTTGTCTAGACAGCTTTTGGTCGTTAAATGCGCATTCCGCGTCACCTGCTGTCTTCAAAGGGAACTAATAGTTGTGAAACACAGGTATCGACCGGCTAAACCAGAGGAATGTGTAAAGAAATCTTAATCACCTTGTAAACGACGGAGAAGCAGAGGCGATGAGTTTGACCGGTGTCGTGAACTCTGAAGGCTGTTTTTCTTTGGCTGAGCAGATTTTTTCGGATGTGTCCCCAATGATGACAGACAGACTGCGGCCAGGTCTCGGTGAAACAGTGATGAACAGCGCCGGGCGGGATACATTATTATTATTCTCCAGTCGTTCGTCCTTCACAATAATTCACTTAATCTAATCGCTTTACGATGAAAAAGTTAAGACAACCTATATAACACTCTCCATTTTAACGCTACTTAGACAAGTTTCGTTGTCTTTTCGCTGTATGGAAAAAATGCCGGTAGAAGTGTCATCATATTCCAGGCTGACACGTGAACTATAGTTTAACAGGGGAGTTCCAAGATTTGAGTTTTGTAAGTTGATATAATCACACAATCATTTAAGTATTGCTTATATTAATGAAATTATAATCTTGGTTTTATCATACCTAAATAATAAATAAATCAAAACGTGTAGCAAAAACTACAAAACGGCCAATTTTGCAACGCGATGTTCACCCACCAAACGATAAATGGTTTGGCTCTACTGTCAAAGAACACTCCGTGCTTTCTCTGAAGTAGAAACCGGAGAATGGGAGGGGCTTGAGGGGGCTTCCGCCAATCAGAGTGGAAAGTGCTAAGACGTATGGAAATCAAAGTATTTCGTCATCGTTGACGTACATCATACGCCTTTTAAAGCTCACATTTCCATATTTGGTGACAGAAATACCTGGAAAGAAGAAATACTTATATTTTAGATACAGCAATGACTGAACTTTGCTTTAGTTCTGTTAAGATGTGTTTGTATAATATTCGTGCGTGCATAAGATTATGTTTGCAGTGGGAGAGATTTATCCATGACTCAAACAACCCATACACGTAATATCTTTACATAATATTTACATTTGACTGTGAACTCAGCCTCAATAACTGCTCTGTTTATGACAACAAATCTTTCAGATTCCAACTTTTAATATGATCATCTGTAGGGAAAATCGAATAGTAAAATTAAATATATAATTTTTTTAGTATAAAGATATTAAACTTTAAAAAGTTATTTTTATAAATGGGTCAAAAATGTAATATTGAGTAAAATAATAACTTTTTTATTACTTGTTTTCCTAGTACTGTATTCATTCATTTCTTTATGCATACATTTATTTTAATATTTTCATTTAAATTAAATTTATATTTAATTGTTTTAATAAAACTTTTATTACTGATTAATCCCAATGATAATATGTTTATTTAAACTTATTTTATCAAACGTTTGTTTTATAATCATTTGAAACTTTAAAAAAAAATTTGCATAAACATTTCCACAAACTTGTCATTTATTTATTGAAATATTACTTAATGTTATATACGTTAATATATATTATGTTTATCTGTTTGTCCTAATTGTTATTCATTTATTAATTTTCCTTCAGCTTAGTCCCTTTATTTATCAGGGGTTGCCACAGTGGAATGAACTGCCAACTTATCTAGCATATGGTTTTCACAGGATGCGCTTCCAGCTGCAACCCAGTACTGGGAAACATCCATACACACTCATTTAAACACACACACACCAATATAGTTTTTTTAATTCTCCTATAGTGCACGTATTTGGACAGTGTGGGAAACCGGAGCACCTGGAAGAAACTCACACCAACATGGAGAGAACATGGAAACTCCACACAGAAATGCCAACTGACCCAGCCGGGACTCAAACCAGCAGCCTTCTTGCTGTGAGGTGACAGTGCTAACCACTGAGCCACTTTGTCACCCTTAATTATTATTATTATTATATTTTAAATACTTGTATTTTCTCAATCATTTCCTCATACCGCATGCTCAGTTTATGAAGACACCAGCCTGCTGTTTGGTCAAAATGTTCCTTCAGATTTTTAGGATTTTGGACAGAATTCTACTAACATGTGTCAACAGGACAAGGTCATAGTAAACCTTTAAACCAGAGTGAAATACAAGATTAGCTGTAAATAGAAAATAAACAATAAAAAACAGAAAAAAGAATCATTAACATTAACAGACCTGTTCAAGATCAAAGGTCATGTGTGTCCAGTATCGTGGAGACTAATGTGGCTAAAGGTCCTTTGTGGTGAAAAGTCCATTGTGGTGAAAGGGTGTTTTGATTTTTGGGGCCTGAGATTGGGATCAAGCATATGGACAGATCACGTTACTCTCTTATAAGTGCATCACTCCACATCTCTCTTTCTCTTGTCTCGGCTTTGTCCTTTTGTTTTTCTACTGATTTGAAGAAACTGTAAACATTGGTTTCAGGGATCATTTGATAACAATAACAATTCAGATCAATGCCCAAATCTAATCATGCGTTCACACCTCTGCCGGCGATAATGTCATTAGCTCCAGCCCTGCTGTTGACTCTCTGACAATCGAACATGTTTACATGAAATGTACCAGTTAAAAGCTGTTTGTGCAGTGAGGGTTTTGTGTTCACTTGTTAAGTGCTAGTCTTATTTTAACATGCTGTTCGTAGAGCAAATTTAATTGCCTTTGTCTTCAAAATAACATTTCTTTGTTTGCATCCTACATTACAAATTAGGAAACCCGCAAAGCAAAAAATTAAACTCTGGTTTTATTTTGCTAGTGAATTAATGTGGTCGGAACCAAAGTTCATTTGACTGCATTCTCTGGAACAGGGGTCACCAACATGGTGCCCGCGGGCACCAGGTAGCCTGAGAGGATCACTTGTGTTGCCCGCAGGCCTGTTCTAAAAATAGCTCACCATAGTACCACTTACCAGTAAGCTTCATATAATATAGAAGTAATCATTTAAAAATGTAAATACTTGCAGAGATATATAAAAATATAGTGTTGCACATTGATACATTAAAGACAAGGTATTTGCTACCCTGTTAAATCATTGTTGATAACTTTTGTGAGAATCATTAACATGATCAGTGTCTTCACATGGATGAATAGCATTAATTTTTACCAAAAACATAAAGTATAATTATGTTATGTTATGTTATTATAATCTCCCCATTAATCGGTACCCAAGAAGTAGCTCTCATAAAGGTTGGTGACCCCTGCTCTGGAATCACCTAAAGAGGTGGACTTGTACATTCATATAGGGTCTGTCTGCAAACTGCAAGAGAGGGGCGTAACATAAAAGGGGCACAACTTGTAGAAGAGGCTTAACTTGAACTTATTGAGACCCACATGTCTAAACTATGTTGTTGATAAGATGGCACTGTACCTATCAGTTATTAATGTCTACACCTAGCCCAACCCAACCATTACAGTTATTAATGTCTACAGCTTCCCCAAACCTAAACCCAACCCTCACAGTTATAAATGTCTACAAAAACTCCAACCCTAAACCCCACCATCACAGTTATAAACGTCTACAAATACTCAAGTTGCGGAGGTTTTCATGCTTGATGAGCTCGCCAATGTACTGTTATTTGCAACAACAGGGTGCGACGCCGAGTAGGCTAACTGTCATGACAAAACAGGTGAACAAGTCAGCGTGTGGAGTCGCTAAATGAATAATAAATAATATATCAAATGAATAGGTTGTGGATACATTTTGAGGAAACACATGAAAACATTTGCTGAATTTGTTCTCTGGAAAGTATTATTTCCACCATCTCGTTGTGACCGCTTACATGGTTTAATAGGATCTCGATAACTTAGTTACGCCTCTAATACAAGTGATGCCCATCTCTTGCAGCTCACAGACAGATACTATTGATGTTTGTTTCCGAAAGCTCATTACTATAAGTTTGACTTGATTACAATTTTTCCCAATGATCACACCGTCTAAAAGCACTGTACAGATTTCCATTGAAATTGAATGACTTCTGGCTATTTTGATGGTCTTGCTGACGGCAGTGTAAATGTATGGTAACATTTCGCAATGATATTTCACAGTGCCTGAAAATAGTCCACAGCTAAGTAACAAGATAATAGCACTGCGTAATATAATTTTGCCTACTGCAGCCATGATACTGTCACGATCACCATCGATTCAGCCTGCACAGATCGCTGGTAAACACACACTATTGCATAGAACTACAAATCCTCCATTAAATGGACTACAAGATCCAGTCATGCACCACTCACACACCTGGCCTAGATCCTCATAATTGCAGACAGACATAGCTGAAGCTACTCATGAACTGATTACTAGGATTATTTATACAGCACACACACACACTTCAATGCTGAGTCTTGTAAGCAGTGTTGTGAACATTATGATGCGTTTAACTTGCCTTGGTTTTCCATGTTTAAACCTTGCTTAGTTTTGTTTGTTTTACGTAGTCTGCTGCCTGACCATCTGCCTGTTTATTGACCATGACTCTTGATTCCCTGTATACATCTGTTTGCCCCTGTGTTGACCGTTGCTTGCCCGAGCATCTCAGCATAATTCTGTAATGTGAAGAGACGCTGGACAAAGGGAGTGCAGATCCAAATGCAGCTTTATTTAGCAGAATAGTCAGGCAAGCAACGGTGGCGGGATCGCTGGTAATCGTGACAGGTACAGCAGCAAAGTTCCTTGATTATTACGCCGTAATGAGAGTATAATACATAGTATAATACTCAGTCTAGAAAATAGGAACTTTAAATTTTCCATCAGTCTTAGTTCATGATGTAACTACAGAAGAGTCAAGCTTTAAATAGAAAATATTTTAATACTTTTTAGTTTTTTTTGTAGCTAAATTATGTTGATGGTCTATTTCAAATCAATGATTTATGCAAAGTTAAGCTAATAGTGCTCTCGCCAGAAGGAATGAAAAGATTTTAAAAATGGTAAAAGTCATAATTATCAACTCTTGGAGAGTTGTAAAATGAGTTTATTTCCGACAAATAACTTGTTCCTTTCAGAGTTTCATTTTAAACCCAAAATCATGATGATCCAGAATTATTCGTCATCTTCTCATTCGGTGGTTCAGCCTGATCAGCAAAAATGAGAAATCCTGTGAAAAGGCTGTCAGTCCAGAACGGATCGAAAAACAGCCCATTTTGCTCTGAGTAGAAGATCTGAAGCCACACCTGATCTCCTTTCTGCAGCCGGAGAATCGTAGATCCCGAGGCCACATCATAGTTTCCGGTGTTTGCGTCGAATGTTCGGATTTTATACTGGCCGTTGTGGACGAGTCCAATTGCCAGGTGTTTATTCGCCAATGTGATGTCGTACGTAAAGTAATAAACACCGGGAATAACGCAGTTAAACTTGCCACTGGTGGAGTTGTAATGTCCGCCCTCGTTCATTAATATCCTGTTGAAGCGGATGGGAGTTCGTTCTTTAGGATAACTCTTGGTCACGGCAACCGAGAAAGCAGATCGTGCTTCAGCTCCGCAGTCGCAGCCTCCAGGAGGACCGGTTTCTCCAACATCTCCCGGCTCTCCTTTGACCCCAGCAGCTCCGGACACTCCGGGAGGCCCTCGCACACCTTTGGGACCCCTCACACCTGCCTTTCCGACAAGTCCTGGCCGTCCCAGTGGTCCATGTTTGCCGGGATACCCAGGGCGGCCCTGTTCACCTTACATTTGGGAATGGATACATTTTTTTGGCATCTTTAGAAGTCTTTTAAAAATGTTACATATAACAAAAGTTTGAAGTTATATAACAGCTTTAGATTTTATATTAAATTACAATTTACTGACAAAAAAATTATGTTTGGAAATATACACTCACCGGCAACTTTATTAGGTACACCTGTCTAACTGCTCAATAACGCAACTTTCTAATCAGCGAATCACATGGCAGTGACTTAATGCATTTAGTTATGTTGACATAGTCAAGACAATCTGCTGCAGCTCAAATCAAACATCAGAATGGGGAAGAAAGTTGATTTAATTGACTTTGAATGTGGCATGGTTGTTGGTGGCAGACAGGCTGATCTGAGTATTTCAGAAACTGCTAAACTACTGGGATTTTCATGCACAACCATCTGGAGGGTTTACAGAGAATGGTCTAAAAAGGAGAAAATATCCAGTGAGCAGCAGCTCTGTGGGCGCAAATGCCTTGTTGATGCCAGAGGTCAGAGGAGAATGGCCAGACTCAAACTTGTAACTCAATTAACCACTCACTACTACCGAGGTATGCAGAAGAGGATCTCTGAACGCACAACACATCCAACCTTGAGGCAGACGGGCTAAAGCAGCAGAAGACCACACCGGATGCCACTTCTGTCAGCTAAGAACAGGAAACTGGGGCTACAATTCGCACAGGCTCACCAAAATTAGACAATAGAAGATTGGAAAAACGTTGCCTGATCTGATGAGTCTCGATTCCTGCTGCAACATTCGGATGGTAGGGACAGAATTTTGCGTCAACAACAGAAAAGCATGGATCCATACTGCATTGTATCAACGGTTGAGGCATTAGTACTAATTGATCATCATGTCAATGCCACAGCCTACCTGAGTATTGTTGCTGACCATGTCCATCCCTTTATGACCACAGTGTACCCATCTTCTGAGCACCTTTGGGATGTGGTGGAACGGTAGATTTGAATCATGGATGTGCAGCCGACAAATCTGCAGCAGCTGCGTGATGCTATCCTGTCAATATGGACTAAAATCTCTAAGGAATATTTCCAGTAACTAGTTGAATCTCTACCACAAAGGATTAAGGCAGATCAGAAGGCAAACGGAGGTCCCACCTGATACTAATAAGGTGTACCTAATAAAGTGGTCGGTGAGTGTGTATAACTATTTTGAAACTGCAAAGTGCAATTTAATGACAAAAATATTTGCAAATGTATATGGAGTTCATTCAAACTGACATGCTTTAGAAAAATATAGAAATAACTGACTATTAACCTTTTTTATTTTTGTAAAAATACTAGGGTCCCAAGACTTCTGCACCGTACTGTTTATTTTTCATTAACCTTATGACAGCCACAACAAATATGCTTCACCTTTCTCTCCCTTTTCACCCCCGTCTCCATCCTTTCCATCCTGCCCATCAACACCTGGCATCCCCATCTTGCCCATTCCTCCACTGGGACCTGCTGAACCTGGACTCCCGGGGGGTCCCTGAGGGCCTGGCAGACTGCAGCTGAGCTGTGAGGAATGGATAGTCAAGTTGCGTCCCTTCTTGGACGAGTCTACAGTCAGCAGAGACAGCAGCAGGCAAACAGCCAGCGGTAACTGATGCATGATGCAGCTGCGCCTGCAAACACAGCAGAAGGCCCGATTCCTCTTCTACTGGGGCTTTTTGTTCAAACATGTAATACAGACACACGCAGCTTTAATCGCATTATCCTGCAAACACGTTTAATAATTATTTTTTTAATAACTGATTTCTTCTACGTTTGCCGCTATGACAGTAAATAATATTTTACTAAATGTTTTTTAAGATTCTAAAATTCAGCTTATAGTGTGATTTAAAGGCTTAATTAGGTTAACTAGGCAAGTAAGGGTTATTTGGCAAGTTAACATTGGTTTGTTCTGTAGGCAATGCTCGAGGGGGTTAATAATTTTGACCTTAAAATGGTTAGAAAAAAATGTAAAACTGCTTTTATTCTAGCCGAAATAAAACAAATTAGACTTTCTCCAGAAGAAAAAAGATTAGTGGAAATAATGTGAACAATTCTTTGCTCTGTTAAACATTCATTGTGAAATGCTTGAAAAAAAAAAAATCACAGGAGGACTAATAATTTTGATTTCAACTGTACATTCACTATATATGTACATTACTTTTTAAAACAAGCACCTTTAATCACATTATGCACGCAAGTTGTGAATAATTCAACACTTATTAATATTTAATATTGTAAATATAATAAATCAAAGAATATAAATCTCACACATTTAAAGCATGCGCTGCATAAAGCCCTCACCAAAATCAATGAGATTTGCGTTGCAGTTCAAAGTAAAGTTCTCGCTGCCCCTTCTGCCAAAGTCAAAAATGCGGAATATAAACAAAGCTTGTGAATCGATTAGTTTCTTCCATGTTCTCCACACGACTTTCCAAACATCCACCCAGTTTCAGCAGGGACGCTCCGCCAGATACTTCATCCATGATGTAATTGAACAAACTGGGGGAGGGGATCATTTATAAACTTGTCAGGCTGTTATTTCTTCAGCCCTCCTTACAATGAAAAATGGCTTCATGCACTGCTTGGCTAAAAAATAAAACAGTTGCACACTATAATATTTTAGCTTTGATTACGGTGAGCATTTGTCATGTCATGTTTGACCTTAAAAGTTTATTTGCATGAATAGTTGCATTCATCTTTGGCTGAGATGTGTATTGATTATTGGAAGCACCTCAGAATAATATTAAGTGATAATAAGCCTACTGGAGGACAGTTCACGCTTAAAAACTAGAGTGTCCTTCACAATTTAGGTCTGATGAATGTTTGCCATTGTCATCCTGAAGTATGACTTCAAATTTTTGACTTAGCTGGGTTAAAAGAATTGTTGCCAAACCTTTGACACTATGGGCCCTATCATACACCCGGCGCAGTGTGGCGCAAGGCGTGGCGCAATGGTCTTTTGGTAGTTTCAGCTTGGCGCAAGAGTCGTTTTGAGGCGTTGCGCTACGCTGTTTAAATAGCAAATGCATTAGCGCTCATTTGTGCGCCCATAGGCGTTCTGGTCTAAAAAGGAAGGCGTACTGAGGCGGACCACTGGCGCGTCGCTATTTTGAGAAACTGTAATAGTTTTTTTATTAGACCAAAACTAACCCGGTCTAAACTCCGGCGCAGAGTTGCGCCTCGCTTACGCACTGCTAAATACGCACGAGAGCAATAGGCAAATATCTTTACATATGAAAAAAATTAAATATTAAGGACATATACAGGATATAATAAGAATAGATATAGAATATAAATATAAAGGAATAAAATATTACAAAACATAATAGTTTCTAGCCTACATAAATATGAAAAATCACTGGTTTTAAGTCTTCATCTCGGGAGGCTTTTTCAGTTCATTCATAACAATTTGCTTTTGTATAAAGTTATTATTATTAGCAGTATTATTTATTATATCCATATTTATATTTGTTTTATTAAAAACAAGCTTAGATTTGCCCACCTGTCAGGTTTTAGACCATAAGGGGCACAGCATGCGTTTTAGGACATAACTCAGGTTTTTGAGCACATTTTGTTATTATTGTACATTTATTCGTTTGCTGGAAATTAGAACTAAATTTAAAAATAGTTTTGAAACGAATATTTGCGCTCAAGAAACGCAATTAATTATTTATAGACTAATTGATGTCTGTGCGTAAAGGGTTCCCTATCCAAGAGCGAAATTGAAAGTAGTTCCATTATCTCTCATTCTCACACAGTAGATGCTCTGTTTAACAGTTTTCTGTTAAGAAACTGTAACTGTTAACTTTTTGCTTGTGAAATGCTCATTTTTTCCACTTAGACTTACTTTGCGTCCTGTAAATAGCGAATGCGCTCTAGGCGCGACGCAGCTGCTCTTAAAGGGAATGGGAGATGAGACTCTTATTGGTTTATTCTCAAAACACACCTATAACTCATTAAGAAAATAAACTTAACCCTTTAAGATGATGCGCCATGGTACAAGGCAGATTTCCCGTCCTTAAATTAGCAAAAATGCATCCTGACACGCCCTGAAAGCGTTTGCGCCCTGCGTTTTGTGGACTGTCAAAATAGAGCCCTATAACATCAAACTGTTGCCAGAAACATTAATCACAACAATGCAGATCCAATAATAGACTCTTCTTGCTTATTAACCAAACTTTTTTCCGACCAGGCAGTGTATAACTTGATTATATAAACTTACACTTCAGACACTGTTCCGAGTATAAGATTGACCACGGATTGCATGTTGAAAAAACAGAAACATAACAAACCCAAGCATAGACATGTTTAAGTTTAAATAGAAATGTTTAATGTCAAACACTAGTCAGGTTTGTCTATTATGATTTCATTTAAAGGGATAGTTCACCCAAAAATTAAAATTGTCATCGTTTACCCGCCCAAGACTCGTTTCAAACCAGTTTGACATTGTTTTTTTTTTAACACAAAAGAAGATATTTTGAAGAATGTTGCAAACCGGTGACCATGACAGCCATAGTAGGAAAAGAAATACCATGGAAGTCAATGGTTACACGTTTCCAACATTCTTTAAAGTATCTTCTTTTGTGTTGCTTTAAAACAAGTGAAGGGTGGAAAAAAATATTAACAGAATTTATTTTTGGGTGAACTGTCCCTTTAAATAGCTTGAAAATAAAAGAATGCAACAAACTATTAAATCAAAACAGATGATTCACTATACAGAACCTATTTGCAATCTATGGGGTGCTTTATAATTAAAGACTAAAGGTATCTGTAATGAATACCACACATATTTTTAGGACAACCATGAGAAAACAAATGACTAAAAGCAGATTTATACAAAGCAGAAGATTTGCATGCTTGTATGAGACCAATGTTTGATCTTTGCGTAACACAGATTTAGCAGTAGCAGTTTTTTTTTTTACACTGAGAGACAATAAGATCTTGGTGCCTGCTGGAAAAAGACACTTGTTTTTTGTTCACTGGCCCAGAAAAGAGGCCATGGGGTCGTCGGGCCGGCAGCGTTTCATTCGGAAAGCCTCCATCTCCTCCTCTGTGGGCTCGCGCACCTCCATCAGGCTGTTGTACGGCCGTTTCCTCTCATCCACCTGCATGAGTTCAGCCACCTGCTTCAGCCTCTGCTCCTCCGCACTTAATGCCTGCACAAACACGCACATTATTTTCCTTCACAATAGGCCTTTGTGTAGCACAGATGAAGCAGGGCTCTTACGCCTTTTCCAAAGTCAAATATAGGCACTTTTAAAACATTCCCAGTGGATTGTCACAATTTCCCCAGCACTGTACAAATGTGGCAAATGACTTATTTTTATACTTGTGAATACTTCATTAAATTATATCAGATGCTATTTGTTATAGTATTCTACACTGAAAAAAATATTCATATGACTTATTACATTTTTTAAGGTGAGTGGTTGCAAACTATTTATTTTGGCTGACTTTAAACAACAAATTAAGTTGAATATTACTACATCTAATTTGTTTAAATTCAGGCCATATAAGAGTTTGCAACCACTTACCTAAAATTTAGTAAAAAAAAAAAAAAAACAGAATTCTTTTTTCCCAGTGTATAATAAGCAAATTTTGTGATGTCTGGACATACCAAAACACAGAATTATTGTCATTTACTCATTTAAATGTCATCTTTCATATATATATATATATATATATATATATATATATATATATATATATATATATTTATTTAAAAAAATTAACAACAAAAAAAAGACAGACAGATCACACAACAGGCACTTGTGCATGTTAAATCAGACTCTATTAGTTATAGTGTAGTATTCTAAGGCAAATCTGTGATATCTGCCCTCATCGCAACACTGAATTACAGTCATTTACTCTTTTTAATGTCATTTTCCCGTATCTTAAGTGTCATTTTTTTTTTATCTTAAGTTTAAATTTATAATAACGTCATGCATTGTTCACTAAGAATTATAATCTCAGTCAATTAATCAAAGGGCGCAGATACATTTAAACTGAATAAAAAAATAAATAAAAAGACAGACAGATCACACTACATGCACTTGCGCATGTTAAGTTAGATTGTATTTGTTACAGTATAGTATTTTAAGGAAAATCTGTGATGACTGACCTTTTCCCAACATTAAATTATTGTCATTTACCCTTGAAAATGTGATATATTCGCATATTAAGTGTCACCTTTCATCATAGGTTTATATTTATTATATTTCCATGCATTCTTCACTAATTAAATTTAATCTCAATGCATTAATCAAAGGGCATAGATACATATAAAAAATTAAATTACTATTTTATATACAAAAAATAAATAAATAACAAAATCAAGCAGGCAGATCACACTACAGGCACTTACGCACATTACATCGGAATTTATTTGTTATAGTCTAGTATTTCTAAGAAAAATCTGTGATGTCTGCCCTCATCCAAACGCTAAATTATTGTCACTTACATTTTAAATGGGTCATTTTTTTATCATAATCTATTATTTAATATAATTTTATACATTGTTCACTAATAAAATGTAATCTCCATGCATTAATCAAAGAGCACATATACACACACACACAAATAAAATCAATCAATAAATAAAGACAGTCAGATCATGCTATTTTTTTTATGCAAAAGCATTAAAATAAAATATTTTTATATTATTTAAATAGTAAACTATTATTTACTTTTTAGTAAGATAAAATATTATCAAAGCAACACAATAACATTAAGCAGTTTCAAGCCTTTTATCTAAAATCTAAGCACTTTTTAAACCTTGAAAACGCTAGATTAATATTCAAGCATTTTTAAGGATTTCCAGCACCAGTTTGAACCCCGATCAAGGATATGATTATGTATGTGTGTGTGTGTGTGTGTATGCATGTATGTGTGGCAGTAAACATGAACAGCTTCTCACCTTCTTCAGCTTTTCTTTCTTTTTGGCTTCGTCCTCCTCGTCGCTGCTGTCTGAATCTCTGTGCTTCTTGCTCTTTTTCTTCTTTTTCTTGTCTTTCAATTTTTCCTGGTGCATCTGTGAAAACGTTTCAGTTTAACGCAATCATCTTCAGACATTGTGGAGTGATTGCAGGAAATATGGGAGTGATGGTAATGTACCTGTAAAAGAGTCTTTGGTTCTTCGCTTGTTTGCGCCTCCTCCACATCCTCTTCAAATGGAGTACAAGAATTACTCTGAAAATAACAAAAACAGAGAATGGATTTTGGATAAAAAAGAAAAAAGACGGAACATGTATATAATAATAAATATATATGAATCATCAAAAACAATAAAGTATCAAACTGTAAATCTTTATTACAGCTTTATTTATTTTTAACCAATACATTTGAGTGTGTGGTTTACCACTAAAATGTCATTAAGCATAATGATCATGATCAATAATGATCAAATTAATCCTGCAAACAAATTTTTGTCAGGTATATTTAGAATAAATAAATTTTATGACGTTAAAAAAAAGACTATCTAAAGATCACAGTGCAGCAAGAAAATACTATTTAATTATTTTATTTCTTTATATTTTGCCTTTTATCCGTCAAATAATGACTTGATTTTACCCATTTTTACCCATTTGTCAACTAAAACCTTTTAATTATTATGAATATAAGTAAATTAATATGATCACTATATATATATATATATATAATTCTATAAGTTTGGGTCATAAAAAGTATCTTGTTAAGAATACATAAATATGAC